TGTGTGTGTAAAGGCAGGCGTCCCAATACTTTTGGCAATATAGTGTACATCATAAGGAGCATGGCGGCTACTAAAGGATTAGAAGAGTATAGTAGATGGAAAATACTTATCTTTCTGGCACTGTCACAACTCTACAATTGTCAGAAGGACTTGGGGAATGGTAGTATTTGTGAACTAGTGTACCATATTTATCAATTCATGCAAAGATGCTGTCTATAGCTTTAATTATAGATAGAAAAGAAATAATTGTGACTATAATTAAGTACCTCTTGAGTAGTTGTATTGTCACCACTTAGTCAAGGAGCTAGTCTCCTACAAAAAAAGAGGAGATACAAATGCAAACAAGCAGCATAAGAAAGAAATCAATAGAATAATTAACTCATTGATTATGCATTTTACTTAAAAGTCAAAAGGTTAAATGTGTCACTTACGCATGTACACAAACATAGCAAGCAATAAAGAATCGAGAACAGATAGATAGTCAATACACCTCAACACTATGACTATTTAGCTAACTTTGAAAATGAAAGGGAGCAATACAAATATATGAATTACTAAGAATCAGAAGCTACCCGTATAAATATTAAATTTTTTAAAGCTGCTGTTTAATGCTTTGTAAAAATGCTTGGACATGTGCAGTATTTCATATAAAGGAATTCCACAAAACATACAAGGGAATTATACAAATAGAGAAACCAAAAAGCGCATAGCTTAAAATAAATTTGAAAATAGTAAAACAAAATAAAAAAGAAAGAAAATGCCACTTTATTTAACACACTAGGAAGATAAGAAAGTAATATCATAAAGGTCTGCCCATTTAAACTGTGTACTACTGTATGCTTTAAAGAACATGCAGCCTTGAAAATAACCAGTATACTGACCAATATTTTTAAATTTCTTGCACCCATTTGAATACAGCTGGAGGACTTTGAAAGCCTGCACTGTCAGGCTGAGATGGTGGTGACCAACCAACGCACTGCATCAAAGGCCAAAAAAAAATCAAAACACTTTAGCAATTGTCTGAAAGCTACCAAAACTGAACCTTTGTTAACAGTAAGAACACCAGGCCAGAGGGAAGATGGGAGAAGTAGGATGGCCAACATAACATAATCTACAAATGTGAAAGAGATGACAGAGTAACCAGAGATTTCATACGAACATCACATCCACTTGTTTTTCAACAAAACACACAGAGAAAAACTCCCCTCTCCAAAAAAAAAAAAAAAACCCAAAAAAACAAGCATAACCAATGCACTGTGGCCTATGCAGTACAATATTGCGAAGAATACACAGGCACATGAAGCACAATAAAAATGCATTGCACAACATAGAAATGCTATTTCCTCTTATTAAGATGCAATGGTCTCCTTCTAAAGGATAATGTATGCTCTTCTAAGGTTGACAAGGTACACATTTTGCACACAGAAGACATCTTATGTTAAAGAATTTGAAGAGGGCCATTCATGTAAAACCTGCTCTAAAGAGTGGTAAAACCTGCCATATCGCCTTAAAGCAAATTACAGTGCAACCCTAACATTTTTATCTGGTGAAATAACATCTTCATTTGCGTAACTCCATCTAATGCTTATGTAGCACCCTCCTATTTAGGTGCTAGTAGTGTGGTAAATTTAGTTATTTGGGCTCTGCAGTAGACAGTGGAGCTGTGATTGTGTGTATCCTACTCTGGGTTCTACGGGCTAAGCTGGCCATGTATACATTTCAGTAAATCCATGGTTGGAAAAAGTGACCAGCAGGGGGTTGATAGAGGTATATAAGCACTGGAGCATAGAGTAGCAGGGTTCTTAGTCTGCTGATGATTGACCCAGCCTGGAGGTGCTGTTAAACCTTCTAAGGCTTAGGGGAAGCCTTAAAGTGTTACTACACCCTGAACCCTGCAACTATATCTGGTCTCCCACAGTACACAGAACATGGAAATGCAATTATTTTAGTAAATATAAACTGCTAAATACCTTTTCTCATCAACAGTTAGAGCAGTCTTGTGACTATCAGTGTCCAGCAGAGCACTGGTTAAAGCTTGTAGGAGGAGGTTTCATTCTGCTCTAGGAGGATGCAGAACCCCTGGCCTCTGTCTGGACAGTTCTGATTGGCCCTGTGCTGATCATGTGCACCCTCACAGGAAAAAAAAACTCTCTAGCAATACACAAAACTGCGCATGTGCAGAGTGACTCCACATGATATATCTTATCTGAAGATAAGAGGGGGGGGCACTGGAAGAAGGGGAGGGTCAAAGAAGATAGGATCAAACAGTGTCTTACACAATGCAGAGGATTAACCCCTTAGGTTCCACAGTGAGTATAAAAAGCATGCTTTACTGCATATACAGACTGATTTTACTGTGGTGGGTTTACTAACATTTTAAGAAGTTCTGGATGATTCTAGCTCACCAAGGAGATAAAGGATCCCCCCCCCCCCAAAGTCACAGGAACACCAGGGCAACATCTAAAGAGGATTTTCCTGGGATACTTTTGTGCCAGTGTCAGCTGAAATTGGAGGGAGGCATTCAGATTGCCTGGATCACAGTGAGTAGGCCTCAGGTAATTTCTAAGGGATAAAGACTGTTGACTGTACACCACTTCTTGTTAGAGGGACTGTTCTAGACCTTATGCCAGGGCTGCACCATTAAAGGAAGCCCTCTGTGCTGAGCTGTTGGTACCTTTGTGCAGAAAACTCTGCTTTACTTCAGTTAACCATTTCAAGATAGTGTCCTCGTTCAAGTTGTTTAGTTCTGTGCACCCCAAAGCTTTTCCCAATCCCTATCCAAGGTCTACAAAAGAAATAAAACAACAAAAAAAAAAACACTATCTACCTAATTACTGTCTGAGGACTGAGTGGGATTTTAATGCACCTGGTAGAAAATACCTTGTATCTGGATGCTGGTTCCATTAAGGGATCAGTAACCTGGGTTAACAGCGGGACCAACCGGAAGGTCTGCTTTACATTTGTCTCAATGAGATGCATGTTTTAAAAAATATCACACTTTTAGTTATACACTCCAGATAACACATGCTGCATGTACATGACATTATAGTAATTAAACAATGACAACTGGGTTGCTGTATGGCAGGTTTCAATGGTAGTGAGCCCTTGTAGTTCACCAACTTGGGGTTCCCCACGGGGCAGAGTCTAAGCCCCAGCCTGCTTCTTCACCAGGGCCCCTGATGGTGAAGATGGCCTTGCAGCAAGCTGGATCCAGGTCACAGCCTCCAGGTGAGCCCAGCTGAGAATGCGGAGACCACTAAGCAAGTGCAGACTACAACAGCAGGAGACAGAAGGGAAAACCAAGAAACAAGCTGAGGTCAAGGCAGGTGGCAGGCAAGCATAGATGGTAGACAAAGCCAGGATTGGGGCACGGGTAGTCAAACATGATACACAGTAGTACACAGACAGGAGCACAGAGAACTCTGAAATTGCTCAGGCAAGGAGTGCTCTACTGAGCACATGTATAAATAGGGAAGCAACCAGGGAGGTGACCCAGGAAGTAATAGAATGGAAAAGGATATAAACCGACAGTATAGCAGGCCACGCCTATAGGTGAACAGAGGAACCAAACACCACATGTGAAATGGAGTCACAGATCTAGCAGAACACTGCAGCAAGGAGGTAAGAGTTTCACAAATAGAAATCTGCAGGCTAGACCGTGACACTGTAAGGTTTAAATATCCTAGTCATTTCTACCATCTCAGCCAAAGAATCCCCCTAGATGAGTGAAACGTTATCAAGTATAATCACAGTGTTCAAACATTTCTTTTTATTCACTAACAATAGATTTGAAAGTTGAATTCCAGAAATTCAGCCACTTTGTGAAATGCTAAGGCATACCACCAGTTAGGTTCCGTGAGGAGCATGCCACTTCCTGGACTTATTTCTATTATTTACATCTGACACTCGGGGGTCTTAGAGGAGAGAAGCATAGACAGCAGTTCTGTCCACCCCTCCCCCTCTGCTTCCCATTCACAGAAGCCTGAATGAGTTCACATAATACAAAGGCTTCTGTAATTAAGCAGGAGGAGGGGAGAGGTGGGCATAGCAGCTGCATCAACTCTGCTGCTGAAGAAGGGGAGGCCAGAGGGTCAAGTGTCGGAGCTCCCAGATCTTTAGTGATAGCTGTCTTCTGGGAGCTTCATATACCTGTCAGATGTAAATAATAGAGATAAGTCCAGGAGGTGGAACACATCTTGTTTTACTTAACTCATGGTATGCCTGCAATTTTTACAAATTATGAATGCCAAGAGTTCAGCTTTAAGGACAGACCATACCATCAACATACACATGCCACTACATGTGTATGTTGATGGTATGGTCTTCTTACAGTGTCATGAGCCATCTGTCATTTATTAACGTGCTCAATAGAAACTGTCTGTGTTGACCACAAACACTAATCAGATTCTTACATTCTGACATTTGGAATCTAAAAGTCCGAATCTGATTGGTAGCTGTGGGAAATAAAGACAGTTAAAGCTCTATAAAGCATTAGACTTAATTTACAGTGTCAATCCAAAGTACCGTATTTTTCGCTCCATAAGACGCACTTTTTTTTCCCCAAAAAAAGGGGGGGAAATGTCAGTGTGTCTTATGGAGCGAATATAAAGCGGCTGGTCCGGTATTTCTGCCGCCACCATGTCAGAATACCGGGCCGGCCGCTCAGCTGTTCTCTCCTGCAGGGCCTTACCTGTTCCTCACTCCAGCGCTGCACAGTCTTCCCCCGCGCTGGCTTCTGTGACAGCCGGGTGTCCACTGTGCATGTGCTGCGCTTTATGAATGATCCGCTGTCTTCTGGGACACATGACAGGTCCCAGAAGGTGCCGGGCCATTCACAAAGTGCAGCACATGCGCAGTGGGCACCCGGCTGTCACAGAAGCCAGCCCAGGAAGAAGAGGGAAGGACAAACTCTGCAGAAGTGAGAGCGGGTACCTGTCAAATTCAGGTACCCGCTCCCCCTCCCTCCCTAAAGGTCAGCAGTCTCTGGTCATTCCCTGCACTGTCTGCAGTCTCTGGTCATCCCCTGCACTGTCTGCAGTCTCTGGTCATCCCCTGCACTGTCTGCAGTCTCTGGTCAATCCCTGCACTGTCTGCAGTCTCTGGTCATCCCCTGCACTGTCTGCAGTCTCTGGTCATCCCCTGCACTGTCTGCAGTCTCTGGACATCCCCTGCACTGTCTGCAGTCTCTGGTCATCCCCTGCACTGTCTGCAGTCTCTGGTCAATCCCTGCACTGTCTGCAGTCTCTGGTCAATCCCTGCACTGTCTGCAGTCTCTGGTCATTCCCTGCACTGTCTGCAGTCTCTGGTCATTCCCTGCACTGTCTGCAGTCTCTGGTCATTCCCTGCACTGTCTGCAGTCTCTGGTCATTCCCTGCACTGTCTGCAGTCTCTGGTCATCCCCTGCACTGTGTCCGCAGTCTCTGGTCATCTCCTGCACTGTGTCCGCAGTCTCTGGTCATCTCCTGCACTGTGTCCGCAGTCTCTGGTCATCTCCTGTAGTATGTCCGCAGTCTCTTGTCATCTCCTGTACTGTGTCCGCAGTCTCTGGTCATCCCCTGTACTGTGTCTGCAGTCCATTGGTTCAGAATATTTTTTTTCTTGTTTTTTGCCTCTAAAACCTAGGTGCGTCTTATGGTCAGGTGCGTCTTATGGAGCGAAAAATACGGTACTACTTTTGATCTTAGAATTATATACTGTATGTTTATAATATTTTCCATTTAAAAGTTAAGGATCTATGTAAGAAAACTACATAAAATATGCAAATCTAGGCATACACTTTTGTTTTATTATTCACACTCACAAGCCCATAATTGGTATAAGCCGTTGAAAATCTTTTCTTTAAAATTACAGTCAGTTTTATTTCAAGCAACATAACAATTTAGTGTACTTATATATAATGAAAAGCTATTTTCTAATTTTGAAAAGTGAAAAGAAATATAAAAGACCTTTTTTTTTCATAGCAAATAAAATTCAGAGCTATGTAATCTGTATTGTTCACTACTTTGTTTGCATAGCTAAACTCATATTTAGAACTGGAATGGAAGCATTTTATAATACACTAACAAAATCAGTCAGCCTTGAAACCTACAATTTCCATTCAGAAATAAGCAATTACTCTATTAAATATTCGGTAATACTCAAGTGCTGTATGTTTTTCACAATGTTTATTAAGCAGCAATCAAGTAACTTATTATTATAAAGCATTCTAAATGCAATTATGACAGTTGAGACACATTCACATGATGCCTAAAAGTCCTATGTGAGCTAATCTAATATTTAATCTAAATTAATAACAGCCTACAGCAAGAAAGTTGTACTGGGTTTGTCGCAACAATGCTGAAAAATGCTAGGATTCATTCCTTTTCTTTGGAGTGAGTATAGCTAGCCATAAATAGAACACAACTGGATGTGCATGATGTCTGCAGCAACAGATTTTGTCCTAAGCAAGAACACTGGGAGTGACAGAGAGGTAGGGAGTGACAGAGAGGTAGGGAGTGACAGAGAGGTAGGGAATGACAGAGAGGTAGGGGAGACTGAGAGGTAGGGGTGAGAGAGAGGTAGGGAGAGACTGAGAGGTAGGGAGTGAGAGAGAGGTAGGGAAGAGAGAGAGAGGTAGGGAATGAGAGAGAGGTAGGGAGTGAGAGAGAGGTAGGGAATGAGAGAGAGGTAGGGAATGAGAGAGAGGTAGGGAATGAGAGAGAGGTAGGGATTGACAGAGAGGTAGGGATTGACAGAGAGGTAGGGAGTGAAAGAGAGATAAATATAAATAATCCTTGTTCTCCAACATATGGGGGGCTTGTGACTTGCTTTCCTGACAACACTGATGATTGGCCACCCAAGCATCCAGCACTGTCACAAGTAGAAAGTACTCAGCCATTTTTAAATTCCAAGTCATGGGTCCTCTGTTGCTTTCAGTGAGTGAATGGAGTGGTGGAGTACTGGGAAGATAAGTATGTGCAGCTGGGAACGTCAGGTGAACTCGCTGCTTTGCCCTGGATAGACTAACACAGGATCAGTTTAAATGTCAAAGAAGTCAATATTAAGGTAATGTGATGCAATTGGTTAATGTGATTGTAAGAGCTTGATTCACATTTCTCACATATGAATCAATCATCTCACAACTTACAACCAATATTGTGACTGGCTGCAGGAACAGTACTATTGCCTAATTTTTCTTTTTTTTGTGAGCAATGCTGCACTCTGATAATTGTATGGCTTTACCATATGTAATTCTAAAACTTGATATATAAATTCCTTTTTATTAAGTGTTCTTGCATGGCAAGACCACTTACTGTTATCTCACATATATATTCTTATTATTATAGCCAAATTTCCACCCTAACTCCTCCCACAATTTTTACACTACATAGACAGTAATATACCGAAATGTGCGTATTGTTCCCGATTGGTGTGCTATTACTTTGTGGAACGTTTCGCGAATGGTTCACGAAATATTGGTATTTTTGTGGTGAAATTGGTCCCATAGGAATGAATGGCGGAATGTTCAAAACTAGAGGGGGAGCTGACAAAAGCCAGAGTGTGAGCTGAAAAATCAGGACATGATTACAAGAACACTTCACACAATTTCCCCAGAAATTGTAGCTTTTCTAGTTTTAATTTTTATTACTATTATACAGGATTTATATTGTGCCAACAGTTTGTGCAGCACTTTACCATACAAAGAGAGACAGTAAAATTACAATACAGTTCAATACAAAAGGAACTGTCTAGGAGTCAGGATTAGAATGAACTATGGTTTGGTTACACTCATTACCTTTTATTGATAGCAAATATAAAGAGCTGTGCTAGCAAATGTACCTCCTAAATAATGTGCAAAAGGATACAATATATATCTATAAAGTGCATACACTAAATACAACAGTGTATACCAGTAGACAACCGACAGAGCCTCAATTAGAAAAGTATAAAGATATACAAATAATATATAAATATTGTAAATAACACAAACCCCAATGCGTCAATACGTGTGCAGAAATTAGGCAATGATGAGTGTAAAAAATATATCAAAGACAATAATAAATCAATAAACACCCGCCTGACCACCTAGTGTGAGCTGTGTGAAATAAAGTGTAAATCAAACCACTAAATATTACACTTGTGACAAAGAGTAATTAAATAAAGTTCATAGGTAAAATTCATAAATGAATAAAGTCACAGTCTACAGTGGCAATATTAATTCCCACATGATAATAAATCCACAGTGTGCAATGCTCATCAATCTTCCCCTTGGTGTGCTGCTGTATCCACCACCACCACCAGGCATGCACGCTCACCTCCACAAATTGACCCACATGACACAGGTCAAACTACACTTAACTCCAAATCCTTATTCCTCTGCATGTCATGGCTGAAGGAGAAGCCACTTCCACAGGGACCCAGTAGATGATGTATTCAAAAACACAATAAAGGGAAGGGGTTCCTCATAGTGCAATACATTTTATTAAAAGAATAGGAAATAGGCTAAAAATGCACTGACATGGAACAAAGGGCTAAAACTCTCATACAGCATTAGGTATGGATAAACAAAGATGGTGGCGATCATCGTCGTGTCGAAAGTCTAAAGCGTTGCGTCACGCATCACGTGACTTCATCAGGGATCGTTGGACGGAAGTGTGGTGACCTCACTTCCATCACGGCAACGATCGCCGCCATCTTTGTTTATCAATCCATACAGTGCAGGCACCTCCCCACTGCATGGGGCAAAAAAAAAATTACATTGAGTGCTTTAAAGCTTGTATTCATTGCCAGTGTCTTTTCACTTTTTTAAATAAAGACTCTAATACTATGGAAGAACATCATATTTGTTTTACAATAAGAAGCTATTGCTGCTAAGTTACAAAATATATTTAACTCCCTGCCAACAAGTGTACGCATATATGCAGTCTCACAGAAGTGGGTCTTTATCCTTGGGGCTGCATATGTGCACTGTTTGTGCTGGGAATGCTCTGCACACCTAGATCTCCTGGTCTCCTACTAACAATCAGGAACTGGGAGGCCCATTTCCCAATCACCTGATCACTGTGATGGCCTCTGATTGGCTATCACATTGATAAGTCACTGTACAGCCTGCCCCTGTGTGTTTTCTCCTCTTGAATGGAGTAAAAGGTACATTATACTTTTTCTCCTTGCTAGAGGAGAAAAGTTTAAAGTGTCATTACACTCACGTGATTAAAAATTGACAGTACATGCTGTATTACATGCTGTTCACTGTCCCTCCCTCCTTGTCTGTGTCCCCACTACAGCCTGATATTGTGTGGACCAGCTGTTGACGTCTACTGAGCATGCTCAAGTTTCATTTACCTTCTAAGCTGTTAATTTCCTCCTTTTTTGTATCTGTGTAGCCCACATGGCCTTAGAGTCACACATGTGGGTGTATACACTCCAGATAAATTACATTTCCCTCCCTCCATACCCACTAAACAGTGAAACACAATGGGGGTTGGACATTACATGTTGAAATGTTGATCGGTTACTTCCCTGTAATTCTAAGTACATACAAACAATAGACGTAGGCTGCAGGGATGTAAAACCCACATCATGTTTTTGCACAAAAATTATAGCCTAGAAAATGTATAAAAAAAAAAGAAAAAAAGGCTGTATTTTCTTAAAGTGACACTACATTATACAATTTTCTCAGAAAAATAGCCCATACACATCCAGTATTGTGCCCTGTAACCCATTTTTAATGAAATTATTTCCTACTGTATTTTTCTGCCTTCTTATAAAGTTCTTCATAGACCCCCAAACCTCTCCTTTTCACCCCACTTCTGTTTGTATGAACAAGTAGTGGATGGTTACTTTCCTGTAATTCTAAGTACATACAAACAATAGACATAGGCTGTAGGGGTGTAAAACCCACACCATGTTTTTGCACAAAAAACACAAAAAAGTATTTCCCTTTGTATTTCAAAGGCTAACATGTGACCAGCACCAGAGGACTAGAAGCTCCTCCCATCTATGTTTCCTTGCAAATGGGCTGGGAAAGAACATGGTCACATGACAGCAGTATATTGACTATAAAAAAAAACTCTTTTTTTTAAATTACTATAAATACAGTGCCATCATCCATGTACATAAAAAAGGGGATAATGTAAATTTAGCAAAGTGTTTAATATCACTTTAACAGCTTCCTGACGTATATATATGTGATTTTGCATTTCCGGGTAGGGGGCACAGCACAGCCATCCTGATCAGTGTGCTTACAGTGAAGCACGCAGACACCGTCCCATAGTAAAAAACACAGTTAACCCTTTGATCGCCCCTCATGTTAACCCCTTCCTGCCCAGTGCTATTAGTACAGTGTCAGCGCTTTTTTTTTTTAGCACTGATCACTGAATTGGTGTCACTGGGGATGTCAGTGACACCAAGTCAGTTCCCTCCAGTGTCAGAATGTCTGCCGCAGTCCCACTATAAGTCGCTGATCGCTGACATTACTAGTAAAAAAAAAAATCCTAGTATATGTACCACCATTTGTAAACGCTATAACTTTCACATAAACCAATTAATTTATACATATTGGGA